ACAGCCTCATCGAGGCCCCAGAGGGCCCCAAGACGCCCAAGAACGCCTCAAGAGGGCCCGAGATGGCTTGAAAATTGCCGAAGAGGGCCCCAAGAGGGCCTTCAAGAGGCAAAACTTTACCCATTCCTCGTGTAAAGCGCACAATTTCAGCATACTCGCTTGCTTCGTCCTCAGAGTGGCCCCCGAGGAGCCCCAAGACAGCCCAAGACGGCCCCAAAGGCCCCAAAGCCGGCCCAGGAGGCCCCCAAGACGGCCTCAGGGAGGCCCAAGAGGGCCTCGTTCGAAATCATGTTCCCGGAATTTTCTCCGGGGGCATGATTTCCGGGTTCCCAGAACGCCCAAGAGGGCCCCAGGACGGCCCCAAAAGAGCTTAAAATGACATTCAAAAGTTCCCAGAGGGCCACAGTTCGCTGATTTTCGCGAAATGTTGTTGGATTTCTTCCACGCGGAGGAGACGGAGAGGGCGAAGGAGGAGGAGGAGGAGGAGGAGGAGGAGGAGGAGGAGGAGGGGGAGGAGGAAGAGGAAAAGGAGAAGGACGAGGCGGGGAGGAGGAGTGGAGGGGAGGAGGGGGGGAGAGAGGAAGAGGAGGCTCGAGGGCGATCGACGATCGGAGACGACGACCAGCGACGGTGATTCACGACGACGACCACGACCACGACCACGACGACGACCGATGACGATCGACGACGATGACAACAGTCGACGCCGCCGATCGATGATCGACGGCGACGACGACGACGACGGCCACGCCGACGGCGGCGACGCTGTCCGACAGCCTCAGCGAGGCCCAAGAGGGCCCCAAGACGTCCAAGACGGCCTCAAGAGGGCCCGAGATGGTTTGAAGCTGGCCGAAGAGGGCCTTCAAGAGGCAAAAATCGGCCCACTCCCGTTGCACAACGTACGTTTTCAGCATACTTGCTTGCTTGGTCCTCGCAGTGCCCCAGACGCCCCCGAGCCCAAAGACAGCCCAAGAGAGACCCAAGAGGGCCCAAGACGGCCCCAAAGGGTCGTCCTGTAAGGCTCACGGAACCCCCAAGACGGCCCAAGAGGCTCCAAAGTTGGCCCAGGAGGCTCCCAACACGGCCTCAGGGATGCCCAAGAGGGCCTCGTTCGAAATCAGATTCCCAGAAGCCTCTCCGGGAATATGATTTCCTGGTTCCCAGGACGCCCAAGAGGGCCCTAAGACGGCCCCAAAAGGCCCTAAATGGACGTTCGAAAAGGCCTGGAGGGCCATAGTTCGCTGATTTGCGCGAGATGTTGTTGGATTTCTTCCGCGCGGAGGAGACGGAGAGGGCGAAGGAGGAGGAGGAGGAGGAGAAGGAAGAGGAGAAGGAGGAGGAGGCGGGGAGGAGGAGTGGAGGGGAGGAGGGGGGGAGATAGGAGGAGGCCCGAGGGCGATCGACGATCGGCGACGACGACCGGCGACGGTTATTGACGACGACGACGACAGTCGACGACCGACGACGACGACGATAGAAGACGACGACAACAGTCGACGTCGCCGATCGACGAACGACGGCGACGACGACGACGGCCACGCCGACGGCGGCGACGCTGTCCGCGTGCGCGGAGCCACCCTGGACCCAGTCTTTTCTGCATCGTTCGAAATCCTCTCCCCTGAAGCGTTTCCGGGAACATGATTTCAGGAGGAGGAGGAGGAGGAAGTTGAAGAGGAGGCAGATTAGGAGGAGGAGGAGGAGGAGGAGGAGGAGGAGGAGGAGGAGGAGGAGGAGGAGGAGGAGAGGAGGATGAGTGGGCGGGAGGGCTCGGGGCCGATCGACGATCGGCGACGGTGATCGGCGACGGTGATTGACGATGACGACGACGGTCGTCGACGGCGACGACCGACGATAGAAGACGACGACAACAGTCGACGTCGCCGATCGACGAACGACGGCGACGACGACGACGGCCACGCCGACGGCGGCGACGCTGTCCGCGTGCGCGGAGCCACCCTGGACCCAGTCTTTTCTGCATCGTTCGAAATCCTCTCCCCTGAAGCGTCTCCGGGAACATGATTTCAGGAGGAGGAGGAGGAGGAAGAGGAAGAGGAGGCAGATTAGGAGGAGGAGGAGGAGGAGGAGGAGGAGGAGGAGGAGGAGGAGGAGGAGGAGGAGAGGAGGATGAGTGGGCGGGAGGGCTCGGGGCCGATCGGTGATCGGCGACGGTGATTGACGATGACGACGACGGTCGTCGACGGCGACGACCGACGACGACGACGATGGACGACGAAGACAACAGTTGACGCCGCCGATCGGCGAACGGCGACGACGACGACGACGTCTTTGAAGTGCCACCCCGAGGAGCCCCAAGACGGCCCAAGAGGGACCCAAGATGACCCATGATAGCTACAAGCCAGCCCAAGAGAGCCCCAAAAGGCGCCCAACAGAGCCACAACGGGGGCAACCAGAGCTGCCTATGGAGATTTTCGGGAGGCCTCCTCCGCAGCGTCCGAAATCATGTTCCCCGAAGCCTTTATCGGAACATGATTTCGGGGTTCCCAGGGCGCCCAAGGGGGCCCTAAGACGGCCCCGACAAGTCCTGAAAGGACGCTCGAAAAAAAAACGGAGGGACATAGTCCGTTGATGTCCGCGAAATGTTGTTGGGTTTTTTTGCACGCGGAAGCGGCGGCGGAGGAGGAGGAGGAAGAGGAAAGGAGGAAGAGGAGATGGACGAGGAGGAGGAGGAGGAAGAGGAGGACGATGGGGGGGGAGGGGGGTGGAAAGAGAAGGGGGGCGGGGGGGGGAGGCGGGGAGGGATGATGCTGATGGTGATGATGATTACGATGCTGGTGATGATGATGATGATGATGAGGAGGAGGAGGAGGAGGAAGAGGATGAGGAGGAGGAGGAGGAGGAGGAGGAGGAGGAGGAGGAGGAGGAGGAGGAGGAGGAGGGGGAGGAGGGAGGAGGAGGAGAAGGACGAGGAGGAGGAGGAGGATGGGGGCGGAGGAGGAGGAGCAGGAGGAGGTGAGGAGGATGTGGAGGAAGAGGAGAACAGGAGGAGGAATAGCAAGAGGGAGGCCTCCCCCGAGTGGTCCCTTTTTTATCCGATGTGGTCCAATGCTTGCGCGGCGTCGCACTGCCGTTTAGCGGGCCATGTAGTCTGACCAGGAGGAGGAGAAGGAGCAGGAAAAGGAGGAGTGAGAGGAGGAGGAGGAGGACGACGACGAGGGCGAGGAGGAGGACGAGGAGGAGGAGGAGGAGGAGGAAGAGGAGGAGGAGGGAAGGAGGAGGAACATGATGAAGATGCTGATGGTGATGGTGATGATGATGAGGAGGAGGACGAGGAGGAGGAGGAGGAGGAGGAGGAGGACGGAGGGAAGGAGGAAGAGGTGTGGAGGAGGAGGAGGAAGAAGAGGAGGAGGAGGAGGAGGAGGAGGAGGGAATGTAGGAGGAGAAGGAGGAGGCGGAGGAGGAGGAAAAGGAGAAGGATGAGGAGGAGGGAAAGGAGGGGGAGGGGAGGAAGGGGGTGGAGGAGGAGGAAGGGGGGAAAGGAGGGGACGATGGGGGGAGGAGGGAGAGTAGGAGGAGAGGAGGAAGAGCAGGGGGAAAGAGGGGGGCGAGGAAGAGGTGTCGTTTTCGGCCGCCTCGGGCCGCCTGGGGGTGAGGAGCGCCCAGAAGCTTTTCGAACCACGACCACGAAACCCGACGAATAACCGAAGTGCATTCAGCCTTCAACCTCGTCGTCCGTTGTTTGGCCGTTGCCCCGGACGAAGCTAGAACCTAAACGCGCGCGTAGCGCGCGCGTGGTTCTAGTATATATACTTATATATAAGGGAGGAGCATGTGGTGAGTATCGTGAAAGGACGCATGGGGCACAACGACAAGGATCACTGACGCAAAGATGATGAGCGCAGAAGTAGCATGAGAGATACGATTTAGAAAAGCAGAAGAAGGAGGAGGGGGATGACGAGCCCCTCTGTCACAGAGGGCCTCCGAACACCGCCCCTCTGTCACAGAGGGCCTCCAAACAACGCCCCTCTGTCACAGAGGACCGAAATGTTTTCACGAATTCCGGCTGTTGGATTACTCCCCGACGGGGTCAGCCTCGTCTCGTCGTCGCGCCGCGACGGGGGTCGTAGCGCCTTCGGCGCGCAGGGGCTGCCCGCGACGGGGGTCGATGTGGGGCTGTCGGCGGGGGTGACGCCCTTCCGACGCTTATTAAGAATCTCGGACTCGGGATCTCCACATCCACGACTCGAGGGTCGCGCCCGAGATCGACGACTCGCGGGCCGCCTCCGATTCCAACTTCCCGACCACCTCCTTTGGGACCGGCTTACCATCATGAGTCGTTTTTTGGCGTTCCCGAGGCCTGGGAAAAGCCCCGAGGGGCCGAAAGCGGCAAAACACTTCTGCTTCGATTTTTCGAGACGCCGGATGACTGGGGATCTGGGGGCCCGTCGGCCTTTGGCGGCCCCGACTGCCCCGCGGAGCCGCCAGGGAGCGATCATTCGCCAGAGGCTTACATTCTCTCACGCAGACATACACAGGCGGAAGAGCCAGGAACTGAGACATAACCGTATGAGCGACGTGGAAAAACACGGTCGTCTTCACCGACATCGGCGCGCAAGGTGCCCGCGCAAGCTCGCGCGTGAGCGCCCTCGTCGGTAAATGTGATGCGCCACGCTGGCGGCCCACGTAAGCCACCGCGTGCGGTCGCCAAGACCCGTTTCTCGGCGGCGGGCACAGGGGGCAGTGAGACCGTCAAGGCCTTCTGAGAAGGCGGCGGGACTTCTCAGAAGCCCCCTCGGTCTCCCGAGAAGTTTCCCATGTCTTCGGGGAAGTCTCGGAGCACTTCTCTGAAGGCCCGAGGCCTCTTGAGCCCGCTGGAAAGAAAGGCCCGCCCCCTCGCACTTCCCCCCTGCGCCCCGCCGAGCTCCTCTTCGTCGCTCGTCCGGGGAACCTCCGCGTCGAACAGTCCACGGCTCGAGGGCCACGCCCGAGCCGTGCCAGCGGCAGTCTGGGCGCTGGGCACCCGCGACGGGCCGGCGCCCCAGGCGCGCGCCGGGCTGCCGGCGGGCTGGCCGTGGGCAAAACAGTGCGCCCCGCCCCCGACGCCACGGCCGCCGCGGGGCAGTCGGTCAGAGGAGGACGAGGAGGAGGAGGAGGAGGAGGAGGAGGATGTGGTGGAGGAGGAGGAGGAGGAGGAGGAGGAGGAGGCCGCGTGGCACCGAGAGCCCGTTTTCCCTCCTCCGGCCTCCTGGGAGCCCCTCAGGCACCGCTGGGTTCGCCGCGGAGTCCTGGTCAGGACGCGCCCCAGGAGAGGGCCACGGCGTACAGTGGAGGCCCATGCCAAGAAGCACCCTGCTTGCATCCAGGGTGCCCTGGGTTTTCTGGTTTTTGATAGCTTTGCTACGGAGAGCGCGACGCTGCCACCCTTATGTCGGGCCTGTTCCTCTACAGGGAGGAAATTCAAAAATAGTAAAATAAATAGTCAGGGGACTATTTTTTGGTTATGTTTGAGTATCTTTTGAGTATGTTTCGAGTATTTTTAATTTTCGTCCAAAAACACCCTGTAGGGGGACAGGCCCGACCTGATGCCACCCCAGAAATCCATGGAATTCCTGGGATCTCGGGGTTGGATTTCCTTCGGAAGGTTCCTTGTGGACTGGCCTCCACTGCAGTGCTATCGGTGCCCTCGCGTTTCCCTGGTCGGGGACGCTTCTCGGCGGCGGCGCTGCATGTTTTGCTGCCGGGCCCGCCCAAAAGAGGCCCAAGGCTGGCCGAAGAGGGCCCAAAGAATTGAAAACCAACAAAAACCATTTGAAAAACGACGTGTTTAGCATTTTCGCTTTGTCGCTAATGATCAGCTCTTGAGACGTCGAGATAGCTCCAGGAGGGCTCCAAATGAGCCCCCAGACGAGCCCCAAAGAGGCCCAAGGCTGGCGCAACAGGGCCCGGAGAGTCGAAAATCAGAGAAAACCCAATGAACAAACAATGTATTCGGCCTTCTCGTTTTTTCGTTTCTGGTTGGCTCGGGGGGCGTCAAGATGACCCCAGGATGGCCGCAAAGAGGCGCAAGACAGGCCCGAGGATTCGAAATTCGTTTGGGGGGGGGCGCGGGGGGGGGCTCCCTGGCCCTACAAAAATATATAAAGAGGAATATTCGGCCCCCTTGGTCACAGATGTATACATGCCCGCCGCCCGCTGAAGTTCCATGACGTAGGTTTCCCAGGCGGTGGACATAGATAGATCCCCGCCTCGCATCCGTAGCCATTTGTTCTTCAAGCATCTAGCAGCATACCTCAAGCACTTGCAGTCCGGGTGGGCATGCCGACCGAGTTAGTTTGATCCAGGAGCGGATTCGTTCGCACCTCCTCTTCTCCTCCTCCTGCTCCTGCCCCTGTCCCTGCTCTTCGGGCTCCTCCTCCTTTTCCTCCTCCTCCCCCTGCTTCTCTCATTGCCCAATTCCACTTCCCGGATCGTAACACCCTGGACTTATAGGATCGTGGCCGTCAACTCCTGACTGAAAACCCCCGCAATGCATACAGTAGCACCCTCTCTCATAGTCTCAAAGGCCTCGGGTTCCCGACTCAGGCTCGCAATCTGCATACTACCGCTCGTGCGTCCATGTACCCTCTAGCTATGAGCTCTAAAGCTTTCCATGGCATGGTCGAAATGTTTGGCCAGTGTAGTGATTCATTTGATTGTGCAGTCCCGTGGGAGAGTCGTCCGCTATATTTAAACTCTAGTTTCAGGATCCTTCGGAGTAATTTCCAGTCCCTGTCCAGTATTTCCGAGATTATTGTGTTTGGCACGCCCGCTCTGCAGAAATTATCCCAGTGCGACTCTACCTAGGAGTTGGAACCCCTAGGAAAGCAGCATTAGTAGTAACAGTAACGCTAAGCTAAAGCTAAGCTAAAGCTAAGCCACAGCTAAGCTAAAGCTAAGCTAAAGCTAAGCTACAGCTAAGCTAAAGCTAAGCTAAAGCTAAGCTAAAGCTGAGCAACAGCTAAACTAACGCTACAGCTTAGCTAAGCTAAAGCTAAGGTAAAGCTAAGATAAAGCTAAGCTACAGCTAAGCTAAAGCTAAGCTAAAGCTAAGCTAAACGCTAAGCGAAAAGCTAAGCGAAACGCTGAGCTAAAGCTAAGCTACAGCTAAGCTAAAGCTAAGCTAAAGCTAAGCTAAAGCTAAAGCTAAAGCTAAAGCTAAAGCTCCCAGGAGACTGGGGGGAACCGCGGGGCGGGGGCTGGGGGAACCGCCCGGGGCGCTTTCCACTGCCCGGCCCCTTTAAGCTAGAGAGTAAGAACCCTTCTAGGCAGAGCCTAGGTAGGGAAAAAACGATGGCTCTCTTGTAGTGTCGTGCCGCGGACAGCCCCGCTCCCACCATCATCGCCCGTGTTGCCCATTGATGCCCAATATCATCAGAGACAAAAGAAACGTTGTTAGTGACTGCGTTTCGCCGTACAGCCGCGAAGACGCCACCCTACGTTTTGGCATCTGTCATCAGCAAAATTCGTAATGCCTGGACGACCGCCCGACGCGTCAAAGGCCAAACTAAGACATGCCATTTATGCAGCAAGGATCAGGATTCCTTGGGCGCATACGCTAGAATGCCAAGTCTTCGAAATGTAATTGTTCCTCTCCTCCCTCGTCTTCCTCTTGCTCTTTGGTCCCTGGGTGGTCCTGCTGTTGCCGCTGCTTTCCCGCTCCTTCCCCTTCCCGACGACCAGCTGCTGTCGTTCGCATTGCTCCTAGATGCTGTCTGCATTAGTTATCATCATTATATTGTATTATATATAAAGAAAAACATAAACGTCCAGACTCCGAGGTGAGTCCTGACTTTGCAAATGTCTCGGATCTCATATCCCTCCACTTGTTCCTCCTCCTCCTCCTCCTCTCCCTCCTCCTCCTCCTCCTCCTCGTCCTCCTCCTTCTCGAGGAGGGAAGGAAAACGAGGGGCTCTCTCGCGGCTGCTCTCTGCCTCCCCCCCAAGGTTGTCGTCGCCCTTGGGCAAGCGGAGGGCGTCGACCTCTCTGCCGCCGTCCGGCCGGCTCGAGCCGAGGCCCGGGTTGTGGCGATCGTCATCCTGAGGCCGGCGGGCGGGCGCGTCGCCCTTGAGCGGGGGAAGGTCCCGGGCATGCGCGCGTCGCAAAAAGGATCGCGACCGGCGTCGTTTTGCCAGATTCGGCCTCCTGGGGTCCAAAGGCAACTCGGGGTGAAACGCTGGTCTTGGAGAAGGGATTGGAATTTCCAGGGGCCGCGCTTTGAGGATCATCAGAAAACCGCATGTTTCGGGGGCGAGGTGGGGAAAGGCGGGGAGGGGCGAGCCGACTACGCGTAAGAGTGACCCTTCGCTGGAATGACTTTCGGGGCGGGCCCGCAGTGGTCTCCTGATCGCCGAGCGAGGTGCAACAGTAGCGTTCTGCGCGCTTGTGTTTGGCCCCCCGCGGCCCCCCAAAAACCCAAGCCAGCATTCCTGCACGTGGCCGAAAGTGGCGCGGGGGAGGGGAAGGGGGAGGTGGAGGCGCGTCAGCGGGCGAAGGTCACTCCTCGGGGGCCACATGCGAACCCTACCCCCACCCCCCACGATTTCTGAGGGGGAGGGTGGGGTTCACTTCGTTCGAGAGCTCCCGAGCGAAGTGAACCCCACCCTCCCCCTCCGAAATGGTGGGGTGTGGGGGTAGGGTTCGCATGTGGCCCCCGAACCCCCGACCTGGCCAGCCCGAGCAAACCAGAGCCGCGCCAGGTGTGCTTGCTCGTGGGCAAGCTCCGGCCCGAGGGCCGTCCAGGGAGACGATCTCTCATCTGGACGCCCGAGATGGGCACGGAAAGAATGGGTACGATGCCCAAAAGCAGTTCCTGTACATTTTGAACAGGGCTCGCTGTCCGCGCCGCCGCGGCCTGCGTCCATTCGAGACAGAAGGCCGCCCGCCCAACAGCGGCCGCTGTTGCTTTGGAACATCATGTGTTGTTGGGCATAGTACCCATTCTTTCCGTACCCATTTCGGGCGTCCGAATCTCAGGCAGGCTTGGGGTGAAGATGATCTTTCCCGAGGAGCTTTGGAACGCCCTCAGAGCGTTCCAGGGCGCTCAGAAACGAGGGGAACAAAAAGTGGCATAAGCATAAAAACTCGGAGGTCCACGCGGATTTCTCGGATCGGCGCTGGATCCCCCTCCCTGGCGCGCGGAGCGCGCCAGGGGCGGCGCCGGAGGCGCCGCCGGGGGGGCCCAGCGCCGATCCGAGAAATCTGCGCGGACCTCCGTGTTTTTTATATTTATGTCATGTTTTGTTCCCCTAGAAACGGCCACGGCGCCCGACACATCTCGAGACGACCGGCGTACGGAAAGAATAGGCACAAGGACCGACTGCATTTCTTCTTCATGTCGAACAGGACTCGCTGTCGGTGTCGCCGCGGACGTTGCCCATTTGAGATAGAAGGCCGCCTGCCCAACAGTGGCCGCTGATGGTTTTGGACAAGATGTGTAGTCACCGTGCTGCCATATGGAACGCGTACTAAGGAACGAAGGGGCTTTCCTGGCCATGGCGGGCCTAGGCCACAAACAGGTTCCACGACAAAAGTTTGAGGAGCCGCCCGAAAACTCGAGCCCCTCCTGAGCCCAAAGCGTCCTTCTTTCAGCGTTTTGACTGTACTCGTGCCGGGGACCGACCTTCCTGGAGCCACTCGCTCCATTCTTGCGTCGATGCTGCGTCGAACGTCCGTCAACTTGAGTCGAACTAGAGTCGAGCTTGCGTCGAACTGGAGTCAAACCAGAGTCGACCAGATCCGCCAGGTGGACATCAGGAAGGTTCCCGAAACGAGCATCTAAGCGTACGAGCACCGATTGATGGGCATTGCACCCGTTTCTTCAGAACCCATTTCGGGCGTCCACGTGATCGAGGCGTGGGGGGCCCAGCAGGGGCGGCGAGGAGCCCCCCCCCGGGGTTCCGAAAGGGTGAACTTCTTTTGGCCGAGCGTCCTCCTCAGCCCCCACGCCTCGTGCGGCCGCAGCTGCATCGGACTGCCACCAAAGCTGAGGGGCGGTCGTGGGCCAAACCAGCCTGTGGTCAATGCTCAGGTGCTCGTTTTGGGAACCGTCCTGAGGCCAACCTAAAGGATCTGGTCGATTATGTTTTAACTCTAGTTCGGCTCAAGTTCGACTCTGGTTCGACTCAAGTCGACGAACATTCGACGCAGCATCGAGACAATAATAGAGGGAGTGGCTCCAGGAAGGTCCCCAGCACGAGTATCCAACAAGACCACCGCCAGCGACGATCCGACTCGTGGCTTGAGCAGCTCGAGGCAAAGTCGTTCCTGGACGCCTGGCCTGGCAAAGGGAGCGACGCACGACGTCGCAGGCACCGCTAGCTGCCGGGGGGGCCGTGCTAATCTTTGCTCGAGCATCGCGGCACGCGCACAAGGTCGAATCGGTCGCGCAGAGTGGCGAGCCAAGAGATGCGAGCTTTCGCCGATCTACCCCAGACATGCGACGATCTGATTATCGAATCGCTTCGCTCATTCCGCCGGCCCGTATTTGTGCCATCGCTGGGGTTTGCCTGCGCGTTCGTGGCCTTTTGGGGCCTTTTGGCCTCCAGGGGGCCTCCTGGGCTCTCTTGGGGCCTCCTGGGGGCCTCTTGGGGCTGCCTTGGGGCCCTCTTGGGCGATCTTGGGCGCCTCTGGGGCCGTTTCGGTGCCCTCTTGGACCGTCTTGGGGCACTCTTGGCGGCCGCTCGGGCCGTCTTGGAGCGGTCTTGGGGGTCTCTGGGGCCATTTTGGAGCGTCAGAAGCCCGAAAAAGCGAAAAATATTGAAACACACAAGGAGCAATCAATCACTGGTGCTTCTTTTAGCGGTCATGGGGCTCTCTTTGAGGTCATCTTGGAGCGGTCTTGGGGCTTTCTGGGGGCCTCTTGGGCGGTCTTGGGGCCATCTTGGGCGTCTTGGAGCGTTCTTGGTCCGTGATTCTGATTCGTGGGCCCTTTCGGAGCTGCCTTGAGGTTCCTTTGGGCGTTCTTGGGGCGATCTGGAGAGCCCCGGAAACCGCCCCTGGGAGTTATGGCATCGTTGAGCGGACCTTGCTGGGAGTCGGCTGGGGTGCTTTTCGTCTGGGGACCCCGAGGGACCGCTCCCCGCGCGCGAACTAGAATACAAGCCGGTCGTTGAAAGTATGTTTTTTTGGATGCCCAAATTCTAATCTACTTCAGGTGCCTTCCTACTTCAAGAGTCGAGCGGTTTTCCTCCTTTCCTCCTTTTCAGGGGGCGGGTGGAAGCCCAATCTACTTCCAACGCCTTCCTACTTCATGTTTCAACCCACTTCTTCCGACCGGCGTGTATACAGATATTTTGTGAACCAGTTCCCAGAGATCTTAGCACGCCTATGGCCCGTTGGGCCCGCGAATCAATCCGCGCTCCCTAAGTTTCTTGACCCCTGCCCCCGAGCGCAGTGTTTCAGCAGTTGCATCGTTTGGTCCATGCGCGCACCGTACGAGATGGGGCAACGTTCGCGCGGCGATGCTCCGACGCAAGACCGACAAAAAGTCCGACGGGAAACCGACCTAAATCCGACTTGGATCCCACGAAATTTTCCTGGCGAAGGACCCAACCATCTGCAGTTGTAAGTACCGCAGGGCAGGCGGGACGATCGAGGGGAAACTCCCTATGGGGCCGCGAACCGCGTGAGACAGGCGAACCGCGTGAGGGTGTGCCAACATGGGGCGGGTACCGCATGCGGGCTGTGGGGGAGACGCATGCGATGACGACCGTTGTGACCTTCGGTGGAGCTCCTCATGGGGCCACGAAGCGTGTGAGGGGCCTGCCGAAATGGGCAGGGGAGGCGCGCGCAAGGACGGCCGCAGGGACCTTCGATGGAGCTCCCTGTGGGGGCGGCGAAACGTGTGAGGGGTGCCGAAATCGTTGGGTCGGATGCATGCGGGCGGCGCCCCCTTAGGAACTTTGGTGGAGCTCCCTATGGGGCCACGATCCTCGTGGAAGGTGTGTCGAGGTGGCTCGGACGCATGCAGGAGGCGCCCCTGGGGCCTTCGGCGTTTGAGCTCGTTATTGTGCCACGATCCTCGTGAGGGGTGTGCCGAAATGGGTTGGTCAGACGCATGCGTGTGGCGCCCCTGGGACTTTCGGTGGAGCTCCCTATGGCCGCGATTATCATGAGGGGTGTGCCGAGATGTGTGCCGATGATAACGGCGACGATGATGTTGTTGATGATGATGATGATGATGGCGATGATGATGATGATGATGATGTTGATGTTGATGTTGATGTTGATGTTGATGTTGATGTTGTTGCTGATGATAATGATGATGATGATGATGATGATGATGATGATGATGTCGATGTCGATGTCGATGTCGATGTCGATGTTGATGCTGCTATGGTTATTGACGATGATGATGGTGGTGATGATGACGATGATGACGATGATGATGATGATATTGAGGACCATAATGATGACGATGATGGTGATGACGGTGATGGTAATGGTAGTGGTGACGGTGACGCTGACGATGTTGATGATGATGGTGATGTTGATGATGAAGACAGATGGTGATGGTGATGCTGATGGCGACGACGATGATGAGATGGGTGGAGATGATGATGATGATGATGATGATGATGATGATGATGGTGATGGTGATGGTGATGGTGATGGTGCTGGTGATGGTGATGGTGATGGTGATGGTGATGGTGATGGTGATGGTGATGGTGATGGTGATGGTGATGTTGTTGGTGATGATGCTGTTGTCGTTTATGGTGGTAACGGTGATAATGTTGATGCCGAAGTTGGTGATGCTGCTGGTGTTGATGATGATGATGCTGATGATGACGAGGATGCAGATGGTAACGATGACGGTAACTATGCCGATGATGATGATGGTGATGATGATAGTGACGGTGATGGTGATGATGTTGGTGGTGATCACGATGCAGATGACGATGGTTATGATTATGTTGATAATTAGGATGATGATGATGATGATGATGATGATGATGATAACTATTATTATGATGACGGCGATGATAATGATGACGCTGATGATGATGATGTTGTTGTTGATGGTGACGATGCTAACGATGTGATTGTTGATCATGATGGTGACGACTCCGATGACGAGGACGATGATGTGGTTGATGATAATGATGACGATGCTGGTGGTGGCGATGATGATGATGATGATGATGATGATGATGATGATGATGATGATGATGATGATGATGATGATGATGATGGTGGTGGTGGTGGTGGTGGTGGTGGTGGTGAGATGTTGATGGTGATGGTTATGATGATGATCATGCTGATGATGGTGGTGATGATGATGGTGGTGGTGGTGTTGCATGGTGGTGGTCATGGTCATGGTGATGGTCATGGTGGTGGTCATGATGATTGGTGGCTCTGGTGTTGGTGATGATGGTGGTGGCGGTGATTATGAGAATAATGCTGATGACGACGACGCTGGCATGCGAAGAGCAGAAGCAGGGATGGGAGGAGGAGGAGGGGGAGGAGGAGGGGCAGGAGGAGGGGCAGGAGGAGGAGGAGGAGTACAGTGGAGGAGAGGAACGCGAGGCACAGTCCCTTCAAAACGACGACCCCAGACCACAGGATGGTTCGGACAAGATGATATCGAGTTTCCGCGCGAGGCATCCAGGATTTCCTTCATAAGACGACGAGAAGGGGGAGGACCAGGATGATGAGGAGGGAGGAGGACGAGGAGGAGAAGGGGAGAGAGGACGAGGAGGAGGAGGAGGAGGAGGGAGGAGGACGAGGAGGAGGACCAGTGGAAATCCAAGATTCATCAATGATGTTGCCATAAACCCTCCCTTCGAGTTCCTGTTTCATCGGCTCCAATAAGACAACCGTCTGAAATTTTAGATCGATGCCCAAGGACTTCAACCTCACGAATCAACGTTACAGTCGGCCCGGATTAGTAGGTCGACCCCACCAGCTCAAGGGTACTTTTGTGTCTTGTGCTTCGCGACACGTGCCTTCTTACACTCCTATGGCCATGTGTCCCTCGGAAGGGTCTTGTTTCCTCTCGCGTGTCCTGTCCAATCAAGGCCGGCTGTACTGTTGCGACCTGACGATCCTGAGTCGTGCCATAACAGCATTTCGGGGACCCCTCAACACTGCGAATCACCGTGACTGTCGCGCCCTTACAATCCTGAGCCGTGCCAAAACATCTTTTCGCGGACGTCAACCATTAGAATCCTTGAAACTGCCTTCGTGGACCTAAACGGTGTTTTGGCGATTTCGTGGGCTGTTGTCGTTTCGATGTCCTTTTTCGGTACAGGCGGATTGAAGACAAAACGAGGGAAAACGAAAACAAAACGAGAACGAAACGCACCGTCTAGGTTCAGCCCTGTGCGGCAACGAATGCGCTTGGCGCTAAGGCGAAAGCCACTTTGTGAAAAGGAATTGCTTTCCATCCGCGAAACTGCTGCACTTGTTGAAGACAAGTGTGCGCGGCGCTGAGGCGAGGGCCACATTTTGAAAACGCCCGCCCTCCATCCATGAAGTTGTTGCAAACGTCTAGTCTCACGAATGTGCGCAGCGCTCTAGCGAGAGCAGCATTTTGAAGGCGGCCTGCTTCCATCCGTGAAACTGCTGCAAATTTGAAGCTTCAGGATCATGACTGGTGAGGAAGTCGGAGGCGAAACGCCCAGCCAGCCCTGCGGACTCGCTTCGGGGTGCGCTAGGGAGGAGATCTTGCGAGGGCCTTGCAGCAGGCGCCGCCGACCCTGAAGGCGGGACCTCCCGCGGGGCCCCCGCTGGCGACCCCCCCAGGGCCCGCTGGAACCCCAGCCAGGGGGGCTGCATTCTGACCTGGGAGTCCCAGGTCAGAATGCAGCCCCCCTGGGGCTCCGTTTTTCTACCGGTTCCGACGCCGTTTTTTTACCGGTTCCGTCGCCTTTTTTTGACCGGTTCCCGCTCCGGTTCCAATCCTGGAGCCGTTTTTTTTGCCGTTTCCGGTCGCCGTTTTTTGCCGTTTCCATTTTCAAGGGACATTTTTGTTGGAAAGAATGAAAAAACGGCCCTGCCGTTTCCGGGGCCCACAAAGCCTGGGACCCCCCCCATCCCCGTCCACCACCCCCCCGCACCCCCGATCCACCCCCCCCAGGGAAGGGAGAAATGGAAGGCAATCGACTTAACTACGACGCTTCGTTTCCTCGTTCCTCAAAATTCTTGAGACCGGCGACTGGCGACGACGACGACGACGACGACGACGACTCACACGGAAAGGCGGCGCACACACGCCGACGGATCGGCAGAATCAACACGGAGGAGGGATGGAGCACGATGGGGAGGCCGCCCCCCCGCGCCCCCCCACCGCCGAGGCTCGGGCCACCGGGGGGGGGGGCCGCGAGGGGGCCAATGGGGCGGCGGGAGGGGGGCGCCATGCGGGCGCTTCTCGCGTTCGCCGCGGGCGGCGTCGGCAGCGGGCTCGTCATCTACACGGTCCTCCTCCTGCGGCCGCGCGCCCGATCGGGATGCATCGCCCTAGGGCCCAGGGCGTTCTTGAACGCTCCCGGAGCGTTCCAAAGCGCTCCAAGCCGCGTCCGCGGCGCCCGACGCATCTCTCGGAACCGCCCCATCTCAGCGATGCCCGATTTGTTCCGATCCGATCTTGCCCCGACCCTGGCCTCGTCTTGTCCGACTCCCCCCTCCTCCGTCCCCTCTCCGTTGTCTCCGCCTCCTTGGCTCCCCTTCCTCCTCCTGCTCCTCCTCCCCTTCTCCGGTCAAAAAAAGGGCCCTGATTGATGGTGACAGGAGATAGTTTCACGATCCAGCTAAAGTCTCCCATCTTCCTGTCACTCCCCGGTTCTTCCCGCTTCCAGTCCCACAGGGCTCCGCACTCAGGGCGTTGAACCGTGTTTCGCTCCTCCCCCTCCTCTTTCAAGAAAGGATGGTGCCGCATGCGGGTGGCTTGATCTTCCTTTTCAGCCGTCCCGCTGACGGCCAGTGAAGGCCGTCCTCCCAGCGGTAGTCGTTAGTAGACGTTTCCTACGCACCCGAGAGCATGTCTCCAAGCCAGGCGCAGACCAGGACACTGGGCTCGCATCGATTCCTGTCCTGTCTTGTCCCCTCCCTCCGCCTCCTCGCTCCCGAGGTTTTGCTCACTCCGCCTCCTCGCTCCTCGTTGCTAGAGCGTGTTTTGCTCACTCCCGAGGTTCCCTGAAATGGCCGCTGCAAGGCTCCGCCTGGTTCGTCGGAAATTTAAGTCCGGACTGTCCCTCTACAGGGGGGATATTCAAAATTAGTCAAAAGATAGTATGGGGACTATTTTTTACAATGTTTAAGCAGTTTTGGAATATGTTTGGGGTATTTTTGAGTTTTCCGCCCAAAATCCCTCTGAAGGGGGACACGCCCGACTTAGTCGTAAACCCATCACCCCTCAGGATCCATGCTGATCCGTGAGATCCGATTCGAAATCGGCTCCGGCGGCCAACTCCGATTCCCTTTTCGATATTCCGACGATCAGATGCGGCCCGATGTTCGCATGGCGTCGTTGTGCATCCTGGCGTGTCCGATCCTATTCGTTTCCGACTCCGTACCGATCCGAAGCATATTCTGAGTCGATGCGACTCCTCGAGTAGATGTTGATTGATCTTGCCCGCAACGGCGCTGACAATGCTGAATTGGTCCGTGCGTTCGAGGAACAGACACTTCCCTCTCTGGGCAGATTGGCGGAAGGGCCTGTCTTGTGGAGGCCTTCCCTGTGCGCTGGTTGTTGTCGCGAGAGCCTGGCTCCGGGTGGCGCTGGCGTGTCACTTCGAGCGCCCACGGCAGGTTCGCGCATAAAGGCTCGAGGCCCGAGGCTTATCTCGGCATCGCTCGGACGTGTGCATTTTTCCTTCGCCGAAGACCATCGAGGAGCATCCTTGATCATTTGGCGAAAAAACCACGCACGAAACCGAAGAAAGCACACGGAATGGACGTCCGAGCGATGGCGAGTTATAGGCGTCTTCACGGGACGCGCCCGTGGCCACGGCCGGACTCCCCTTGCAGCTCTTGCCAGCGCCGCGGCTTACCCGGGGGCCGATCTCCTCGACACCCATATCCGCACGGCCGGGGCGCGCCGCGCAGGCGGCCGCCGCGACCCCAGCAGGGGCGTCCACCAAGGTTTTCGCGCCGCCAGTGGCCTGGAACGGGCCGATGTCGAACGATCCGCCCTGCCGGAATCCGCCCTACAGGCGGCCCGGATTAGTAGGTCGACCCTGCCAAATCAAGGGTATTCTTGTGTCCTGTGCATCGCGCGTCGTGTTCTCTGCAGCCCAGGGGCAAGATATACCCTTGCGTCCTGGGCCATGTTGCCGTCCGTCGGAGGAGTCTTGTGTCCTGGCGCGTGTCCTGTGCGCAACGTTCTGCCTGTATCGGAAAGCCGCGATCGTTCAAGATCGGATGCAATTCGCAGGTCATCACGGCACGAAATTGTGGCACCAGAGCATCGTGTTGACCGTGCAGCCAGGGTTCTAGCCAACGTTGATTGACCCATTTGTGTGGCACGTAACACGTTGGCTCAAGCTTCTGCTTGGTTCAAGTTGAGCGGCTCCCCCGCGAAGCACGAGACAAATTTTGTTATTCGGGCCCCCCTGGGCAGCACGACGCCGACACGGCGGACAGCGAAAGCGGTGGAGTGACGACATCACAGAATTTTTGCAGAAGGGTTTGGTTGGAAGCACACCCGGCACATGGCTACAGAGTGCTGCAACTTCCAAAGTCTGGGCGGACCTCGAGAGCGACTTCTTAAAGTTCACATGCTTGTGACTGGGCTCTGGCCCGCCCGCGCCGCCCCTGAAAGGGCCTGCCTGCCCGCCGGCCGGCGAACTCGCGCGTCTGTCTGTCTGTCTGTCCGGGTTATTGGGCCCGCGCCCCCCCCCGTCCCCCAGGACAGTTTGACTTTGTCGGTTGCGCAGGTCCGAAGGGGGTACGCAGTACTGGCGCGCGCGGGCAATCGCGGGGTTGCCCAAAGCGAAACAGTTATAGGTCATCGGGTGAGGTCATCCGCGACCCCCCCACACCGGGTAAGTTAACCCAGGGCATCGCCGAAAAACGAAGCTGATCTCCGGCATGCCCGCCTCTGCAGGCTCTCTCCATTGAGCTCCGGTTGCCTCCACTCACCCTCGTTGATGCCCCGCGTTACGGGGACTGCTGCGCCTGACAGCGTGGTATTGCGGCAGTTGGCCGCTGCCACCGGTGACCCTCTGCGCCAGGCCGGCGCCATGGAGGGCCAACGTCTGGACCCTCGTTTGATGAAGGCGGCGCGCGAGGCTGGAGGTCACTGCGTCTATTCACGAGGCTTACGCCATTCTGCCGAGCCCCAGAATAAGTGAGGAGTCGACGTTTCGCCATTCATTCGAGCCTGATCGAAGCTCTCGTTGGCAGTCCAGTGGCATTCGGCCCATCCCGCCACCGCGCCTGCTGAAGGCGGCGCGCGAAGCGTGAGGGCACCGTGTCTATACCGTTGCGCCGCCGCGCGCACATCCGCCGCTCCGCGACAAAGGAACCCAGGGGCGGGTGGGCGGGTGGGCGGGCGAGCCCAGGGGGGCAAGGTGCGATCGAAGAGAATCCTCCTCCTCCTCCTCCTCCTCCTCCTCCTCCTTCTCCTTCTCCTTCTCCTTCTCCTTCTCCTCCTCCTCCTCCTCTTCCACCTCCTAACTGGATCCCCGTGCAACTCCCCGCGACCTCTCAGGAGCCCACGAAAGTGGCGACAGTTTCGCATGTCGCAGACCCCCCAGTGAGACGCGAGGAGCCAACTGAATGCACGTGCCACGGCGCAGGACCCCCCAGGAGCCCACGAAATTGTGCAAGTTTCACACATCAGAGCCGCACAGGGAGCCGCGAGGTCCTAAGTGGATCCCCATAGAACTCCATGCTGCGGGACCTCCCAGGAGCCCACGAAAGTGGCGACGGTCTCACATTTCATAGCCGCACAGGGAACCGCGAGGTCCCAACTGGATCCCCGTACAACTCCACTCCGTGCGACCTGCCAGGAGTCCTCGAGAGTGGCCACAGTCGCGCACGTCGCAACCCCACCTGGGAGCCCCGAGGTCACAACTGAATCCACGTACAACTTCACGCCGCGGGACCTCCCAGGAGCCCACGAAAGTGGCGACAGCTTCACACTTCAGAGCCGCACAGGGAGCCGAGAGATCCCAACTGGATCCCCGTACAACACCCCGCTCGACCTCCCAGGAGCCCACGAAAGTGGCGACGGTTGCGCACTTCGCAGCCTCCCAGGGAGCCGCGAGGGGCTGCAACGCAAGCAGGACGAAGGAGAGACGGGAGAAGGAAGAGAAGGACGAGGAGACAGGATGCAGGGAGGCAGGAGGGGGAGGAAGAAGGAGTAGTGAAGACCGCAGTGCTCTATTCACAACGAGAACCCAACGCAGGAGGGTTTGGGAAGCAACAAGTGCATAAACACAAACGTTGAGAGCTCCGCGCATATTTCTTGGATCTGCGCTGAGCCCCCCATGGCGGCGCCTCCTGCGCCGCCCCTGGCGCGCTCCGCGCGCCAGGGAGGGGGGTCTAGCGCCGATATAAGAAATCCGCGTGGAGCTCTGACAGTTTATGTTCATGCCGCTTTGTGTCCCTCGATGAGAGGAGGCGTGTTTTCTCAATAGGTGGCGCGCTTTCTCAGAGGCCCTCGGGCCTTTGGAAGGCCTTGTGAGCCTTCTCAGAAGCCCCGCCGCCTTGTGGGAAGGCCCCCCATCACTTCCCCCCTGCGCTCGCCGCCGAATCAGGGTGACCGTTAACTCGGCATCGCTCGGACGTGTGCATTTTTCCTTCGGCGAGGACCATCGAGGAGCCTCCTTGATCATCTGGTGAACAAAACCACGCACGAGACCAGAACAAGCACACGGGATGGACGTCCGAGCGATGGCGAGTCAAGGGGAGATAGGTTCAGGGCGGAGGACATCGGTCCGCAATCTCCGAAGGATCGCCCTCCGTGTGTCCTGCTAGCCCGCCCAGAACAGGAGCGTGCGGTTTCGCCATCGCTGGCCTACCGCTTATTCATCGGCGATGGGCTGCTCTGGGCGAGCCCCCCCTCCACGATGCCACTCTTGCCGGCTTCGCCTTGTCAAGGGAGGAGAGGCCACCCCGACCCCCCACATTTCTTGGCATCGTTCGGACGTGTGCATTTCTTCTCGGCGAGGATCATCGAGGACCATCTTGGACCATCGAGCAAAAAAAAACACGCACGAAACCGAAAAAAGACGGAATGGACGTCCGAGCGACGGTGAGATTTGGCGTTTAGGCATTTCGGCGCTTACGAAACGCCCCCTGAGTGTCTACCAGACAAGGCCTACCCTGGACGAGCCCCTCCCGTCACGCGCGCCTGCCAAAGGGCTCCGCCTGTCGCGGCTCTCCTTGCGAGCGGGACGATGCCGCATTCCTTGCACTGACCCCCCGGCGAGCGGGGGGCCAGACGGCCGGGAGGGGGGACATCAACTTGT